TGGGGGGGGGGGGGGAAGAATGGTCGCGCTGGATTGGAGATGCCGCTGCGATTTGTTGAAACCATTCGTTTTAAACGAAGGGTTCGCGTGACATGCAATGCACAATCTTAAGTGGATTGGTTCACACCAACATACACACAAACACGCACACACACGAGATATGTTCGGAGTTCAAAATCGCACACATCCACAGAGGCAAACAACAACAGCAACAACAAAAACAAGCCCAGCATATTTTTCACATGGGCAAGGAAGAAGCACTCGGACAACCTGGTTGGGCTTACAGGTCAATCAGGTCCTGCTGCCTGCTTGATTCGGGGCCAAACGTGTGCCCATGTCATGCCCGACCCAATCAAGCTCCGCAAAGAATCAGACCAGCAGAAAGAAAGGCGCAAAATGCGTTAAAATGTGATGGCTTTGACAAACAAACTCAGGCCACCGTCACAGACTTGGCCAAGTTTCGGGGCTTGTCCACATTGCGGCCAAGGTGGGTGGCGATGTGATATGACAGAAGCTGGAGGGGGATGACTGAGAGCACCGACTACTCAAAACAGGCAGGCACCATTACAGGAGCAGAGCCACGAGTGAGAGCCGCTGCGGGGCATCATGGGCGGGCGCAAAGCGTGGCGCATACCTGGAGGCAGTCCACAATTTTGGGAACCTTGATGCAATTGAGCACAACGCCCGAATCCAACTTTGGCTCGTACCCCTCGGGACAGATGATCAAGGGGCGACCGTGCCGGGCCGTGATCTGGGCTAGCGCATTCTCTGATTGGCTCAGCGTCTTGTCTTTCATGATGAGCTGCGAGAAAACCATTGTATGGGCATTGAGATGCAGATGGACCAGGCCAGGGTCACAGACACGAGTGCTGATGCAGACTCAGAGACAAATCCAGGCAACGCACGTACCATGATAATCTTCTTCTTCTCTTCAATCAGAGCCAAAGGACCATGCTTGAGCTCGCCGGCCAAGATGGCCTCGGCATGAATGTATGTCAGCTCCTTGATTTTCAAGGCACCCTCCAAGCAGTTGGCAAAGCTGTAGCCACGACCCATGACCAAGATGCTCTTCTCCGCGGCAATGTCTTCAGCGTGCTTCTTGATGACATCGTTATTCTCCAGAACTGCCTGAATAAGGTCAGGAAGATCCTCAAGGCACTGGATGATCTCTTGGCGACGGGCTTGCATCCGAATGCTGTCCTCCGACATCATCAAGCCGAACATGACGAGAGTGATGATTTGCGAAGTGTATGCCTTGGTTGATGCCACGCTAATCTAAACACGTGGGTACCAAATCGATTCAGGCGCGGGCAATTGGGAGGACATGAGCCAGGAGCGAGGTGCACGCTTCCAAACGCCGTCCAAGCGTGCATTCATGGCGGCACGGAGCGAGTACGAACCTCAGGACCAGCGTTGATATGAACACCGCAATCCGACTCCCGGGACAGTGTTGAGCCAACCTGGAGGGAGTTCGGGAAGTGAGGTCACGCAGCGAGCGGTGGGTGGGGGTAATATGCAAGGCCGGGACAGGTCAAGCTACCGTGTTGGTAATGCCCACAATAAGGGCCCCCTTGCGCTGGCAGTACCGAAGCGCGTCCAAGGTATCAGCTGTCTCGCCGGACTGGCTGATGAAGAAGCAGACATCATCACTGTTCCATGCAACACAGGGTCGACCAAATGAGACAAAGCCAGCAAGAACCTTGATGAGAACTCTTCACTTGGCACACAAGCACAAAGGGTTACGAAAACGAACCGGAAAATGGGACAACCGCGATCCAAAAAGTCGCTGGCAATGTCCACAATCACGGGTAGCTCCGTCATCTAGCAGGATTTGAGCGCCAGGCACAGCGTCGGTGCATTGAGTTCTCCTTTGGCAGAGAGACAGCCAAGCGCAGCAGGCGTTTGACGCACCTCTTCCATAAATTGACGCGTGGCCATGGCCGAGTTGTAGCTCGTGCCACAAGCAATGAATAGCAGGCGGCGACAACGGCGAATGTCACTACATTGCAGCAGGCAGAAGGTGGGGGTTGTTGTACAAGCGGAATGAGCGTGAGTCGGGGTGTGTTGTGCAATAAGTGGTCAGTGCCAAGGCCCAAATTGCATGGCGCTGACCCAATGTGCTCCACCAGGCCACCAAGTTTGACCAGCTTCTCCGAGGCACGCACGCGACCACGCATGGTGTTGACAACCGACTCGGGCTGCTCGAAAATTTCCTTGAGCATGAAGTGAGCAAAGTTGCCCTTTTGAATCTCGTTGACCTGCATGTCCAAGGTCTATGGGTGTTTGCGAGTCAGGGTGCAGGGAATATGCGTGCCAGGTGAGCAAGGCGTTGCCATTGGCAAGTAACGGCGGCAGCTGCGCTTGCAGCAGAGCAGAGGTATTTTGCGAGAAAAAAAAAAACAAAACCAAAAAAAAAAAAAAAAAAAAAAATAGAATAAAAAAACAAAAACAAAACAAAACACAACACCTCAGCTACTGACGTGGACAGTGCGGTGTTCCACAAAGGCCTTGTCCGATTGCGACTGCTTCACGTGATGCAGAGAGAGGTTGCCACCCTATTATCAAGAGAGAGGCAAGCGAAGAGGACAAAAAGGCAGTGTGTTGGCCAGCATTCATAAGATTAAATCGTGTCGGGACACAATCGAGCCAGCCCAGCCTCGTTCTCTGTCTTGCTCGGCAATGCCGAATGTTCAAGGGCTTGATTGAAGAGTATGGTATGGAGGGAACGCGCAAGGAGGGGCGGGACGTACGCGAATGTGCACGACGTCATCGTCCTCAAGGTAGATGACGCGGTTCGTGTACTCGATGAGGGCACTGGCGTCCGAGGCCAAAAAGTATTCGACCGGGTCATGGGTGTCAATGTGCTCCCAGCTTTGGTAGCGGCGAAGGCCACCCTGACGGTTTTCGGGCTGGATGTGGAGTGTGAGGGTGCATACACCAAAAGGGTGCAAAAGGAAGGGCGCGGTTCGGGGGGCAAGGGTGAGAGCGTGCGAACCTTGCCCGTCTTCTTGGTGCGATCGGAAATGCTGATGGGGATGATGTCTGCACTCTTGGACTCGGTGAGGATGCCGATCAGCAAGGGGGATCCACGGCGGGCCGCGACCACCTCATTGGGGTAATGCACGCTCTTGAAAATGACGGCAAAGGCGCCCTCCAGACGAAGGATGGTCTCTTCGACAAGAGTGCGGAAATCGCAGGGGGTCTGCTTCTGCTGGTGCTCGTCAAAGATGTACTTGGCCAGCTTGACAATGACCTCCGTGTCCGTCTCAGACACAAATTCATGGCCCTGGCAGCAACAACAGTGATGGATGGAGACGCCGATTGTTGAGCACGCGAGACGGATGCGACGGCATGGCGACTCGAGTACATTTGGCAGGCGCGAGTCAAACCTTCTCCTGCAAGAATGTCTTGATGGATTTGTAGTTGGTGATGATGCCGTTGTGGATGATGACAAACTCGTTGGTGGGATCCGAGGCGTGCGGATGGCAGTTGACCTGCAGCACGGGGTGGACGCATCATGGGCCTGAGAGCACATCGTGGTTCGAGCGCGGAGCAGTGACTCACTACCACCAACCTCGCTGGGGGGGCCATGGGTGGCCCAGCGGGTGTGGGCAATGCCAGAGTGCTGGTCCAAAACCTGGTCGTAGTTGAGCTCCTGGCAAAGCAATGCGTGTGAAGGGGCAGGCGAGGATGAGTTGGGGCAGAAGCGAATCTGAACGGCATGATTTTGAGCAACGCAAGACGATGTGCCCAATGCGTGAGAGGGAGTGAGGGTAGGGGTGAGAGTGCGCGTACCTGGTTCAGGGCAGCTTCTTCGAGACCAGCCACTTTGCCACTCTTCTTGATGAGCTGGAAGGTGCGGGAGCCAGTGGCACCAAATTTGTCGTCGGTGTCGATGGCCATGCCAGCTGAATCGTAGCCGCGGTACTCGAGGCGCTTGAGACCAGCAATGAGCATGTCGATAATCTCCTTGCGCGTACGCGGCTTGAGGTGGTTGATGTAGCCAAAGATACCACACATGGTGCTGGTTGGCTAAAGGCGGTAAGAATGGGAGAGGGACTTTGAGCGGAGACCAAGCCTCGGGCAGGGCAAGGGCAGAGCGGATCAAGCGGACATACTGGCTTCCAATCAAAGGGAGAAGAAGGGATGGGATCTTGAACAAGCAAATGCAGCGATGGGGGGAGATTGCAATGTTCTATCGTGATCAAAGGCTAGCCCGGCAGGCGCAGGCATGCGAGCATGAGGAAACAGGCGAGGCCGCGGGCACAGACAGGGTGGCGCCACGTCAACGATTGAATTGCAATGAGGGGGGGGTTTTATTTTCTCTTTTTCTTTGTGTTGTTGGAGGCTGGACGGGGGGGGAGGAGGCAACACAATTCACCCAAGACGGGCCCAGGCATAAGATGCTGAACACACCTAGCGGCACCGTGGTACGAATCGAACCGAAATCCAGTCGGGTCGCAAAGGTCGGGCCAGCTCGAGCAGCAGTCGAGAGGGAGGGTCGAGTGAACTGTGAGAGAGAGAGTTTGTGAGAGAGAGTTTTGTGAGAGAGAGAGAGAGAGAGAGTTTGAGAGAGAGAGTGAAGAGAGTTTGAGAGGAGAGAGAGAGCAACATACAACAAACAAAGAGAGCCAAACCCACTGAACGCACACACACACACTCTCTGTCTCTCTCTCTCTCTACTGCATGACAATGTCATTGCATTACCACTGAGAGGGAGCAGGAGCGGCTTGTATCAAAGCTACAGTGGATGCGTGTGTGGAACAATGGAATGAAAAGGCTGTTCATTGTTTGTAAGACCACTTCCAAAGGCGATGGAACAAGAACTTGTCTAGACGAATTCAGAGACACAGACACAGACACAGACACAGACACAGACATAGACACAGACATACACATAGACACAGACACAGACACACACAGACACAGACACACAGATAGACGGACACAGACACACACACGCTCTGCCGTTTTGTTGTGCCCAGCGAGAGCATCCAGTCGCACATTGGGAGGCTCTTCGATGACGCAACCGGATGTTATTTCCCAGATCACTAAGAGCCAAAAGTCAAAATTAGAGGACAGTGCGAATCCAAACGCCAAAAGTGTGAAAATTAACACACTATCTTGCGCGTTTGTTTTGTTTCTCTTTTTTTATTTTTTTTTATTTTTTTGAATTTTGTGGTAAAAAACTTTTTTTAAAAAATTGCCAGTCGGTGCGATAAACGGCAGCCGCAGCATTGGGGGCTTTGGCAAGAGATGCGGGTGGGCGGAGAGGGATAGTCAGTGGGATTGGCGAGAGGAAAAGTGGTGGATTTCAGCAGAAGCAAAGATCCATGATGGCGCTAGTGGGGGAGAAGCTGGGCGGCACAGCGAACAATCCTTCGCCTCTCGCTCAGACGTGCGCGCTCGGCATGCACCCGCCCCATGCCTTGTAGGTACAGGCGGCGGTTGGAGGCCCGTCCTTCCCGCCCTGGTCTTCCTCCCCGTACCTGAATCGCTCCGGCAATCAGCGCGGATCATCAATAGGAGGCCTGAGACTTTTGGTGCGCAAGGACGGAGCGGCCCGAGCGGTCACCAAGACGCGGCACCCAGCCGCAGAGCGCCCCGGATCTAGACTGCCACCGGTACCATGGACCCCACCTTGCAACGTGCGTACCTGCTTCTGTAGATTTGCTGGCTCTACTCGCCATTTTAATCCATGGCCTGCCATTTCGCCTCGGCAATCCGTGCCTCTACAACCTGCTGGTCACTTTGGCTGTTCCATGGGTCGGTGCTCAATCCGTCTGGCAGGTCGGACGTCAAGCCTCTTCTTTCGGCCTGAATCCACTCTTGGCGATGAAAAGGCTCTGCGAGCTAGTCGCGAACAGCTTGTTCAAGATCGTCTCAATGCCTACCGGGAAGATCTGGCAGAATGGTTTGCCATCCTCTTCAAGCAAAACATCACCTCCCACAACTTTATTGCTGAGCTCGGTATGGACCCGGCCAACTGATACCCCGAACCCGCCACCTCCAACCGCTCTTACAGCTGGCTCATGCTTTGCCTTCTTGGGCGTTGCTCCCTCCCAAACTTTGTTGCACTCCCTAGCCAACGGCGTCAAGTTGTGCCAGCTTTGCAAGTTCATCGAGGATGGCGAAATGGATCCCGCGCGCCGCATCGCGCAGTATGCCTCCAGCGTCGATCGCGCCAACTACAAATCCGCCCCTCTCAAGTATAATCTCCGTGCCAATCTAGGTTTGTTGCACGTTGTCAACTCCGGCCCCATGCTTGCATCCGCTGCGGGACACCCACCTGAAAAATTCTTCATAGGCAGCTTCAAGGCGCGCGACAACGTGACGCTGTTTCTCGAGTGGGCCAAAGGCCTTGGTGTTTCCAAATCTGTACTCTTCGAAGCAAATGACTTGGTCGTCGAGGTCGGTCACACAACTCACTGCATCGTGGTCATCCAGAATCTTGTCAACCCATGCTGTGGCCTCCACTGCTGCCCCAATCTACCCGCGCCTCACCTCAATCTGGTCGATCCTGGCATCGCCACTGCACAGGATATCAAGGACGTCAAGGAAAAAAATGTATTGTACAGGTGTGGACCTAGTCTCATCCCGATCCTTTGCACACTCAACTCTCTGCTCATTACCTGCGACGTCCTGACGGTTCAACAGCTTGATGGAGCTCGGTCGCGTGCAGCATGGCGTGGAGCCACCCAAGGTAGAGCCATAAATACATCGCGCTCTCATTGTTACACCCCGTGAGGCCACACCTCATCGAAAGGATGCGGTTGGCTGCTGGTGTGCTGATAGCTTGTGGAGCTGGAGCGTGCCATGGATGTTGGCAGCTACTTCAAAAACATGTCCGAGGGTGAGTTTGACTGCACACCGAGAGCTTGTAACCCACCTCGCTTTCATGCGCGCACGCTCGTCTGTTCGACACGGTTCCAAACTTGCGTTTCCGTCTGTTTGTGCACTCGGTTGCACAACCCTTCTCTCACCGTCTCTTTGGGGCACCAAACCTTTAGCCGACGAATTGGGCATGGAGCATGACATTCAACAACTGTTGCGCATTATGCGTCTCAGTCACGTGGTTGTTTCGCGGGTAGGTTGCCGTGCATGAAAGATGCAGATCTACACCTGAGCACTTCCGCCTCATTAACGATCACGTCTTCTGGCCGCTGATGGTTCACTTTCACCGCTGTGGCAATGTAGGACGATAACGGGGAATACATGTTGGGTGACCTGGGGCCCTTCCGCATCGCCAAGCTCCGTGATCGCCTCATGGTTCGCATGCCCAACAGCTGGGACACGCTCGAGCATGTCATCAGCATCCACGCCGCTGCCCTCGCGGCGGATGTCCCGGAAAATACTCCCACCAAGCTCCGCGAGCGGCGCAACTCGGTCGTGGGTGGGTCGGTGGATGACACAGAGCGCCGCATGAGCATTGCCTCGGGTTTGGAGCGCCGCCGCTCCTTTATCAAAGGACGACGCAACAGCCAGGCCAACGGTGACGGCGAGGCCGTAGCCCTCCTTCGCATGCAGGTCCAGAATCTTGAGGAGCAGCTGCAGGAGGTGCGCAGCGAGAACGATGACCTTCGCGCCCAGCAACGCGATGAAGACTTCAAGCGTCAGCAAGCCGAGGCTGTGGTGCGTGAGCTGACCGAGGAGCTCGAGGAGCTCAAGGGCTTGGCACCGCAGCTGACTGCACAGGAACAAACAACTGCGCGCCTGGAGGATGCTCTTTCAGAAGCACAGCGACGACTACGCACGGCCGAGGCCGAGCTGGCAGAGCGTACCTCTGAACTCGAGACAGCTCGAGATCAGACCAAGGAGCAAGCAAACGCTCGCGAGGACACCCTCCAAGCGCGGAACCGCGATCTCGAAGCCAAGCTCAAACAGGCCCAAGCCTCACTGCAGGAGGTACAGGCTGTCTATCGTAAGCAGCAGGGCGAGTATGACAAGATTGTCAAGAAGATGGAAGCGTCCAACCGCGAGCACGCCGAACAGATCGAGCATGAGCATGATGCTGAGATCAAGGAGCTCGAGGACGAAATTGAGACACAGTCGAAGCGCAACGGTCAGCTGCAACAAGAAATTGCGGCGCTGCGCGCCCGCGCCGAGGGCATGGAGCGTTCGACTCGTGACCACGACCAGGCATTACGCGAGCACGCAGACACGTCCGCTGCTCTCGAGCAGGAGATTGCCCGCCTCAAGGAAGCACTGCACGAGGAGCAAGATGCACACCGCAACACGCGCGACCGCCTGATGGGCCAGTTTGACAAGCTGCAGGAGCGACTCAAGCAAGAGTCTGACGCGCTAGCACAGCTTCAACGCGAGCTCGCAGAGCGAGATGGGCAAGCGCAGCGCTCCAAACATCTTGATGAGCAAGCCCTGGCGAGCTTGCGCAGTGAGCTCGGCCAAAAAGATGCTGCCTTGCGCCGTATGGAAGAATCAGCCGAGGAGAAATTGCAACGAGTGCGCGCAAACCATGAGCAAGAGCTACAGACGCTCCAAACTGTGGTTGAGCGCCAGAAGGCACGTCTGAGTGAGTTTGAAGCTAACAGCAGCCGCGCCGACGAAGCGGCGCGCCAGCAACGCGCTCAAGCCGAGGAACTGCAGTTGGCCGTGACATCTCTGGAACAACAACTGGCTTCGGCACGCGAGCGTTTGCAGGGCGCCGAGCGGGAAGCCGATGAAGCCACGGCAGCCTTGGGGGAGCTGCGAGACAAAAACCGCAGTCTTTTGAGTGATACGACGGCGCTCAAGCTGCAAGCAGAAGACGCCGTGGCGCAGCTCGAGGCTGCACAGGAGCAGGCCGAGAAGGCCATGCGCGGCCGCAACGAGCTCGAAGTGGCTCAAGCACAACTCGAAGCCACGCTGCGCGAGAAGAACGCGCACATTGCCAATCTTGAGGCGGCAGCCGAGCACGACAAGAGCCTGCAAGAGCGTGCGCGCTCCGCTCAACTCGAAAGCCGGCTGGCACCGCTGCAGGATGAAGTGGTGCAGTTGCAGACGGCCCTGGAACTCACGCGTGCCAGCCACGCCGCAGCGCGCAAGGAGCTACGTGAGCTCCACGATCGTCTCATGGATGCGGATAACGCCAAGGCCCAGCTTCAGTTGAAGCTGGAGCAGCAGGACATCAAGCTGCTGGAGAAGGATCAGGCCATCCGCGACCTTGAGGCACGGGCTGACGGCGAGCAGAACCAGCGCCATTTGCGACGCGAGGACCTGGTCCATGAACTCGAGCTTGCACGCGAGGAGATTGACGCCACCAAGCAAGCCCGTCATAAAGACCAAGAGGCCTTTCACACCGAGATGGAGGAGCTACAGGCGCAGCTGCGTCGCAGCATGCAGCAAAACAACACGCTGCGGCAAGACTTGGCCAGCGTCACGGGTGAGCGCTTAGAGGCGGTCCAGCGCCGTGCTGCTGAGCTAGAGGAGCGACTAGCGGCCCAGCGCGAAAAGTACGAGAACGATATTAAGCAACTGCGCTTGAGGTGCATGACAGCCGAACGGAACGAAAGCGCCAACCGACTGGAGCGCGAGTTGATGCAAAAGAAGCTCAACGACAGCATGAGTAGCTTGGACACCATGCGCGGGCAGCGGGACGGAGCTCACGACGTCAGTTCCCAGACCCATGCTGGGGCCTGGCCGTGCTTTGCCAACTTGCGCCCGACGGACCTCAGTGCTGCAGAAAAGGGCGCCATTGTCGCCCACGACGCGCGCACTGCGGAGGCTCTCGTCCTGGCTGCGGAGTGTCATGCAGAAGCAACGGCTGCTGACGAGGCTGTTGAATCCGCTCGTGCGCTTTATGAGGAGGAGCAGGATGCGCCTGCTGCACAGGCTCTTGCCGACGCACAGGATCGCCGAACAGAGGCCACGCGCAATTTACATGATGCCGAGGCAACGCTGCGCGAGGCGCTTAAAGAAGCACTGGCCCGCCTACAGGCGGCCGAAGAGGCCGCTACGGCAGGGACTTTGGCTCAACAAGAGGCATATGACCACCAACAGCGTGAGCACGAGCTGCAGCAAGTGCACGATTTGATGGTGGCACAGGCTGCGCATGCGCGCAGCGAGCGTGAGCTGCGTGATCAGCTCAACCATGCGCAAGCAGAACTCGAGGAGCTTGAGGCGCAGCATCAGGAAACCGACGGTGACCGTCAACGCCTCGAGGAGGCGTTGCACGACCTGGAAGAGGCGCATGACGAGGCTACCCGTCGTGCCACGGCCTTTGAAGACGAGCTGCGCACAGCTGATGCCCGTGCTGAGGCTGCTCGGGCCGAGGCCGATGACTTGCGTTCGGCTGAGCTCAAGCATCTGTTGGCTGACGTCACGCCTTGGTTCAACAAGGTTCTGCAGCTCAACCTCACCCCGGAAGAGTTTCTCGATGCGCTGCGGGATGGCATTTTGCTCTGCCAGCTGGCCAATACAATCGATGAGGTGGAGGAGCAAGCGCGTGATTACGAGGATGACCACGGTCTTTTGGCCGAGGTGTGCGTGGATGAGCAGGGCCTGGATATTACGCCCGAAGTGCGCGGTCGTGATCTCATGGAGGTTCAATATCTGGAGCCGGTTGAGCCCGAATCTGAGGGTGCCCTCAGCAACGTCAACGCCTTTATTGAATGGGCCCGCTTGATGGGATGCAAGCAACCCGATGTCTTCCATCCAAACGACTTGGTGCATGGAATTGACGAGGAAAGGGTTCTGCGAGGCCTGCAGCGAGTTGCTCGGCGCACGCGCTGCATGCCTTTGCCCGTCTCCGTGGCCACCGAACGCGCTCCCTTTCAGCCTGAGCCCCCCAAGGTTCGTCCGCGTGGTGCCTAGCTTGCCAGACCGGGTGAAAAGCGGGTGGAAAGCTGGAACAAGTCATCGCCTTTTTTGTTTCTTTGCTGTTCACGACTTGCTTTGACTGAACGCATAATTTGGCTCATTGTTCTTTCTGTCTTTTTTTTTTTTTTTTTTTTTTTTTTTTTTTTTTTTTATAGCGCAAGAAACGTACCAAGAAGAGCACGTCAGCACCCGTCGATGAGGTGGATGCCAAGGTGGCTGAAGTGCTCAACTTTGTCCCCCAGATGAAGACCAAGCTGCGCCGGTACGTCCTTTGCTGGCCGAGTCATCTGGCGGCCTGTGTTCAACAGTTTGCTGTCAAGACACTGGCCACTAGTTTCGTCTCACCTCTGAAACGACTGGTCGGCACGGATTGACAGGGTCGCCAAGGGCAAATATCAGATTGACGATGATAAGCGCATGCTACTGATGCGCGTGCTATCCAACAAAGTCATGGGTCAGTCCCACCATTTCGAGCAATTTCTGCTGATTGCACAAAGCACACATACGCACAGAGCACACACAAAACACACGCACACAAAAGTGGCGGCCATCATTTCGCTTGCGCTTACGTTTGTTGATTTGTCCTACCTGTGGACGGGCGGTGTCAATCATTTCTCATAACGCTAGTGCGTGTTGGTGGCGGCTGGGAGGACTTGGAGACGTACCTGACTGACCGATCGCGGCGTGCTAACAAGCAAGACTATCGACAAAATGCGCAACGTGTCGTTGCGGATATTCGTCAAAGCACGCAGGGCCAGACCGGTTTATGTAGCACGCGTACCACGGTACGTTCAGGGAGTCGTATAGCAGTATCACCCCGACCGCGTGCGAGTGCATTATTCTCATCGAAAATGCTTGGTCTTGTAGCTTCCCCAGAGCAAGAGCCCTCGCAAGGGTGTCAAGAATGATCGCCAGCTCCTTTTGCGCATCAACTCCTTTCGGGAGAATGATCGGCCTGTAGAGCGACCTTTTACCTAAACGGATATTTGCCGGCGAAGCCAGCTGCTGCCTTAGTTTCCTGCATGTCTACAGCTTGCCTTGCTTTTCAAACGTTTTAACTTTTCTTTTCTTTTTCTTGGAGCGATTCGTGCTGGGCGCGATTCGGCGCAAGCTCAAGGAAAGCGGCCAAGGCTGCTCGTCTGCTGCGAGGGCAGCGATAGTTTTGATCGTGGTTGCAACCCTTCTCTTGCACATCATTATTGGTCCTGTCTAATTTTCTTGTTTCTCTGTTTTTTGTCTTTCTTTTTGTCCTGATTTGAATGCATGGGCATGGCTTGGCGCCAGTCGAGTGATGCGAGTGAACGAAGCTTATCGAGTGTGGGGATTGAAAGAAACGCACTTTGAGTTCTGAAAAACAAAAAAACAACAACAAGTCACAACACCGATACCATCAAAACTGTACATATCTGGTTGCTTGACCAATGGTCGACAAACACATCAAAGACGAGGCACACAGCACGTAAGGGGGGCTTGCCTTTTCTAGCACGAGAAGCGGAACGAGCAGGAGGAAAGGATGATGTCACATTCAAGGAAAGATCACATGGGAGAAACAGGACGACACGAGACGGCCACTGAACCACATAGCAGTAGGCCCAAGCCAGTCCAGCCATCTCGCCTAAGATGCGAGGCGACGTGTTCTGGGCTCTGAAAGGGCGGCACAAAGTTGTTCATCGGACTGTGCTCCTCTCAGCAATGCATAGGGCTTTAGATCATGAGCAAGCATCTCCGCAATGATTATAAAAAGTACTCTGTGTGGGCGTGACAACGGCAACAGCATCGGAGATAGAAGCCATGAGTAGGATAACAATGATGTGCAAGAGGAACAAAGCCTGAGTCGTGGCCAGGTTGCCCATACCAGGGGTCCTTCGCGTCACGTGAGGCTCGCCGCGACGCGGAGCAGGCTCAAACTGCAAGCTGTATGGGGAACAGAGAGACACCGATGGTCAATACATATTGTGAGAAGGTGTACAAAAAGGGTGCGGTGTACAAAAAGGGTGCAGGCCGCCACGCTGCTCTTGGCGCGAAGAACATACAATGTCTGGGTGATGGTGTCATCAAGTTCCATGATGGCTGCCTGGTTGCCGCAGCGATAGCAGTAGTTGGGCGCGCTGAAAATGGTCACAACATTGCGCTCGTGCGACCAGTTGTAACCCTATTTGTAGAAGCCAGCCGAGGGAGCAGGCGTCAAGAAGGGATCAGGGCAGTGACGGCGACGAAGTAAAATACACTTGAGCAGCAGGCCAGTGATAACGCACATCCATAACCAGCTGATGGGCACGTGAGACCAAGCGCAGCCCGTTGCGCTCGTTAAAGGCTTTGGAGACATCATGACCAAAAGTGAAACCAGCGCCGCGAGGCGAGATGCCCCAGCCCGTACGATCATCGGGGTCAGACCACAGCAAATCGCACATGGGACCCTCATGGGGTACCTAAGGCAGAGCAAGTGCGCATGACCAGGGGTACAAAGCGATGAGTGCCAAAGCGGTGACAGCCGCGCAGTTGCGTGCTGGGGGGCATGGCTGAAAGTGGAAAAAAGAACTTCACGCATGCAGCACGGGGCCAAGATGCAAAGCCGAGGTAAAGAGGCGTAGCGTCACTAGCTCTTTTGAGTCCCTAAGGGCAGGAAGGCTTCGCGGACTCACTTCCTGAACGCGATCCAAGGTGCGGATGGCATCGAGCGTGTCCACGTTGGGCGAAAGGCCACCGTGCAGACTGAAAATCTACATTGTGATGAGTGGCCATGGCGCATGGCGCACACGAGTTCAGGTGAGAAAAAAAAGAGCCAATGCCTGCCAGCACAATCAGATCAACTTGTCTGGCCCGTCTCTGGCCGTGCTGCCAGGCAAGCTACGCTTTGCGAGCGCTTGTCACAAATGCGGCCAGGGCGACAGCAAGTAGCTCTGACACCGGGTAATCGAGAATCGAGAATCCACAAACAACTACGAGCACACGAGGGACGCACTTGGTTCTCAACCAAAGCAGTGAGGGGAAAGTAGTCGAAAAGATCCGTGAACCAGGTCCAGACGTTGGTGTTTCCGTACTTGCGCAGGCACTCGTCATAGAAACCATAGACCTGGCGGTGGTGCACAGCACGAGGCGGCGGCGGCGGCGGCGAGAGGGGTGAGCATGGTGGAAATGAAAACGCCCGCGTTGATGAGACTCCGCGTACCTGGGTAATCTGTCGGCTTTCGTGGTTTCCGCGGAGGATAGTGATGCGCTCGGGGAAGCGGACCTTCAGAGCAACAAGGTAGGTGACGGTCTCAACGCTATAGTAGCCGCGGTCCACGTAGTCACCCATAAAGAGGTAGTTGGTATCGGGGCACTCGCCACCAATGCGGAAGAGCTCGACCAGGTCGTGAAACTGGCCGTGGACATCACCGCACACTGTCACGGGACAGAGAACGGGCTGCACATTTGTTTCGTGGGTCAGAATTTCCCGCGCCTGCGGACATATGACAAAGTGAAAGGAGAGGTGCCATGAGAATAGGTTTCGCAATATGCACTCGACCACACTTGAGCCATCTCGAGCGCAAGCCACTCTGCAGGTCTTGCAGGAGAAAGGCGAGAGGGGAAGGCACGAAGAAAGTCTGGTGCCGAGTACCTTATCGGTAAGGGCACGAATTTCCGACTCTTCGAGTGGCTTGCACTCGCGCAGCTTTGCGAGCCAAGCATCGACTTCCCCGTAACCGCTCATCTGCACAATCCGGCCCGGGAAACGCCATGTGTGATGCAAGGGAAGAGCGTAAATGGGAATCGTATGCGCAAAGGAGGAACGAGGGGAGCGCGCAAGCGCGGGCGGCGCATCAGGGACCTTGATCGCGACAAACCGTAGCGTGTTGGGTTGCCTGCCGGTGACTTGAACCAAAATACACGCGGTTGCCTGACTTCTTAGAAAGAAGAGTCAAGCAGCGGAGACCGTGGGCGCTGAGTTCTAGTTGCAACAAGGGCCAGCGCCATGGACAGGCAGTGATTGGGGATCAGCTGAATGACAACGAACAAGAACCACGAGCCGTGGTTGGACAGAGGCTTGCGACGCTTCATCTCCAGCCCAACTGTCAACCAATGCTTCCCTTCATATAAATACTCTTCCTCCCAACCCCTATGACCACACGCTCCAACGACAGCCCCTCCCCGCTGCCACAAGTAAGTCCACACGACACGCTCACACCGACACAACCGGCTCAGCTCACTCACCTCCGGTAACAAAAAAAAAAAGATGAGAGAGAGAGAGAGAGAGACAGAGAGAGACATCAGAAAAAGTGAAACAAAAGAAAAACTAGACTCTTTGACACACACACTCAACGGTCTCCTTTTGGACTGGCTGTGAGATTTGGCTTTTGTTAATCGGGTAGTTTTCTGCTCAAAATCATACAAACTTTATCACAGAACAACATCTGTTGTTTGTGTGTAAGCTTGCAAAAGGGGTAGTATAGTTTGGAGGGGTGTGTGCTCGAGGCCAATTTTAACGTCATGGCGTTGCGGACTTTGTCGCTGACGAGTCGGTTGCGGGGGCGATGGTCTGACCTGGGGCGCGTGCTGGCAATGCCGGCAGGACAGCAGCTCGTACAGCACCAGGCGCCGAGCATCCATCTCCGCGTTCGGGCGCTGCACATGCAGCGCCCGCAATGGCAGCAAGCACAAGTCCGATTTTGCCAGCGCATGTACGTCCCCGCTCGTCAGAACTCGGTTGTTTGCGACACCAAATTGGATGAACCCTCACCGCTGACTGGAGCGGCGTCATGGCCCGGTCGCAGCATTGGCTACGACAAGGAAATTGGCGAATACGTGCGCTGTGGACAGCCTTTTACTGATGCCACTAACCACGAAGCTGCTTGCCAATACCACGAAATGTACGTTGCGCTCCGCCCCAGCCCGCGCCCCGGCTTCGCCCCAGGCTCATTGTTGGTTGCTTGTGCAGCGGGTAGGCTTCTTGACAAACTCATCGCAAGCTGTTGTGTCTGGCACTCCCCTGTCTCACCTTTTGCTACTGTGGCTGCTGCGTCCTTCTTCGGGCTCCATCGCGATTCGTGTCATCTGCTGGCCTGACCTGTGCTTTTTTACTTGCAGCTTCTTCGGCACAGTGTAGGTCAATCAACTTTTTCAGATCAGGCGCTTCCATCTTGAACTGGTGCCTGTTTGCTGTCTGTATGGCCTCTCACCCCACGCTTGCTCCGGTTTCTGCTGCATACACAACCCTTTCGTTTGGCACCGCCTGTGTAGAGGGTAAGCCAGCCTGTCGGTACCCCCCTTTACTCAAACGCTGCTGCGACTGTGATCTGTTTGCCACCTCACGTGCTGGGCATGGGAATACATCTGCTTGCACTCACAACGCGTTTGTGCTGCTGATTGGCAGGAGGTGAGACACCTGCAAACTTGGGGTGCCAATGGCCGCCAGAGCTTGAGGGGATGGCTTGAGGGGATGGCTCACTGCTCATTGTGTCCTGCACGCTCCACACGCTTTACCCAATCCCACTACGACACAACAAACCTCGTCGTAGCGGCAATGTGAGCTATGCAGCATGACTTGTTGCAGTCACCTCGCTCGTTGCGACACCTGTATCCAGGTTCTCATCTCGGTCGCTCGCGTGGTCTAGTGGTTCAACTGTTGCCAGGACAATGATTTCGAGGCTCCCGGTTGCAAGAGCGGGCCTCACCTAGACGTGGTTGATGACTTTGAGACACGTGGTATGCACCCTCTCTTTGGCTAGCCTACAGCGCATTTGCACCCCGCAGCGTTTCCTCATGTATCGCGTTACAACGCACAGGGCACTCTGTTGACCCTAAGACGGTGGCTGATTTGGATAAACTGGAGCACCAACAGCGTTCCTAGCTGTGACCATGTACTACGCGTCGCGACGTATTCTTATCTGACTTTGTTTGCGGGTCGCCACCCATGCAAGACATTGGCACCCTGAGTCGCCACCCATGCAAGACATTGGCACCCTGAGTCGCCACGGTCCTTTGCTAATCTAATCGAAACCAGCTTCCAACCCGCCTGCAACATGTTTGCAACACATGAGCAAGAGCCCAAAGTGCAAGAGCTTGTGTGTGTCCAGGATCGCACGAGTGAATGCGGCGGCCGAGGGCATCATAGAATGGCAACGGAAAACGGATCGACTAGCGTGCATGCGCGGTGCGCAGTGGCAACTTTTTGTCACATCCAGCGGCAAAAACAAATGACAAAACAAAGGTAGAAGAAAAAAAAGAAACAATGAGGGGAAGACTGCATGTCAGAGCACATTCTTTGCTTTGATTGATGGTCAACAAAGCTCTTTCCGGAACTAATAATATGCGGGAAAGAGGCAAAGAACAAACCCAAACCACTGCGATGCTGTCCACTTGCAGATGACAAGGCTATACATTCAGCTTGAGCTTAATCATTGTTCTCCTGCAGCAGGGCCAAAGCTCGCCAAGCCCTGCGCGTGGCTATAGGAGCCACTTAGTGGTTGTACTGGGCTGACTGGAGCTCACGGTTGGCAAAGGTGCCCGCCTCGCGCTGCTCATCCCACTTCTCGACCCACTCCAGAGGGCAAAGCGACATGTAGGTCTTGAAGAACTGGCCGCAAGGCTTGTAGCTCTCACCCTGAGCAGTCCAGGCACCAGCGTGTCCAAAAATCGTGAGAACCCGGCGTATGGCAGGCGCGAATCAAGGTCCACCTCCACCCAAAAACAAAAAGTTGCGAAAAAAATGGCCGAGACAGTCATGATGGTTGATGATGGCGTCACCGTCAACTCGTACAACCACCCGCTCGAGGCAACTGCGGCACCAGAGGCAAATTCGCACCTTCAGCGCAATGCACTTGTGAAAGTCGACATAGTTTTGCCAGCAGCTCTTGGTCTGGTTCTGGTTGGGGAAGCGGGCATCAAAGGGCGCCGTCTTGATGGCGCTGGCATCGATCGAGGACATGATGATGTTTAACTGCAGGTTCAACTGGTTGTCAACTGCCAAGAATGGAAGACATAGACCGGGCACGAGATGAGTGAGCTTGATCGTCAGTACACTGGCCAGCCAGCCGCCTGGTGCTGGATGCTTGAAAACCAGCCTTGACTCGGGAACCTTTTCTCTTCAAGTGTGAAAGCGAAACAGCAAGATTGGCAAAAGACAGCTACTGACACCCCATTCACCCTCCTGCCCGCCCCCTCACTGACACAGACGACCGGTGCGGAAAGCATGAGCCCCGTCATGAGGAGCGAGCGCCACCTGCCAACCAAAACCCCCTTTTGCTCCAAGTCACAATGGCACGTCATCAATAAAACAGCATCCCCTGCCCCAGCAGTACCACCAGATGGTGCTTGACATGGGTGGCAAGCATTTGGTCCCACCCCAAGGGTACGCGGGGCTGCCCTTTCGGGCCGAGAACGAACACACAGAGAGACACAGAGAGAGAGAGGGGTACCTTGTCCTTGCGTCGGTAGCCGCGGGTAAATCCCAGACGTTATTGTTTTGTCGGCGTTTTTGGGAGGAAAGCAATACAAATTCCGCCTGGTCAGCATCGCAGTGGTCGCTCGAAAGACAAAAGGCCAGAGAATAGCAATGTGCAAATTCCGCAAAAGGTGAAAAGGGTTTTTTACGACTCAACGCATATACATTTTGGCAAAGCAGGTCAGGATGTGTTTGTCAGATTTTCTGATTGCGTTTGGCGCCAAAAATCGATGATATTTTTTTTCGCGCCGACCAAATCGAATTTAAAATGGCTCGCGGGACCATGGGGTGGGTTCAAGAGCCTCGCGTCAAGGGTGCGATGCCAGTCGCCTCTGAAGAACAATCGAGTGAACCGGGATCTATTCGAGGACCGGCCTTGTCAAGCGCAAGCTCGCTGCTAGCAGCGGCTCGGCCTCGCGGCCTGTATGATGCAACCTCACCCTTGTTGGGCTACGATTGGATCGCCGCTGTTTTGGACAATGGCGACTTGGAGCGCTACAGCGAGGAAGAACTCCAGCACCTGGCCCAGTTTAGGCAGGCACACTACGACGAATGCCATGCTCCGCTTCTGGAAGCGGCCCAGCTGGAGGCTCTGCTGGCGGCCGCCCACCCTGCGCAGTCCAGCCCGAGCCGACACCCGAGCCAGCCCGCTTTTGTCGTCAACGATCGTCTGTTTCCGGAACAGCTGCCGTCGCCTGAAGGTGCACGGGGTACTGACACGTTGTATGACGACGATCTCTTGCAGTATGTGCGGGTATCCTTTCCTCGACGCCATGTCCCGCCTCGCTCCCCGGGGAGAAAAAGCGTGGGCGCTGACCCCCAGCGGCGAGACTCGGTGGCACTGAGCTCGCACTGCGATGAATCCTATCGCGTGGCTCCAGCTAGCTGCCCGGCACCCGAACCGAGCGCGGATTTGGCCTCCTCCCTCCCACGCGTCGCTTTGCAAGACCGTGAAGCCCGCTGGCCCTTTGGCACCAAGGCGGCCGAACGCCAGAGCGTGCGCCATCCAGAA